GATGGACCTTGCCTTTTTTTTTTCTAAATTGGCTAATTGGGTATGTATTACAAGCATTCAAACTATTACATTCAATATGACATATGCCAGCAAAAGTTTGCATGAACAGGTTTTGTTCATATGGGATCCTCTAGTTTTGAAATTTTGTCTGCTTGATCTCAAAATAAACTTTTTGAAATTCAAAATTTAATAGGAAGCAGCTTTACTGTGCTGCATGTGGTTGTGAAATAAATTAATTCTGCCATGCCATTATTTGAATGCATCTTTTTGTTCTCAGTGCTGGGTATGTAATATGAAATTGCTAACTGCTCGGTTTAGCTTGCTTAACAAGTTTGTTTTTGGGCTTTGCTTCATTTTTTCCATTGTTAAATGAATGCCTGAGAATAAAATACATTTAATCTATTGGGAGTTGTTTGTTTTTATCTCCTCAGGTGACAAGACAGTTGTATGAACCTTTAGTCATGCAACTTATTCACTGGTTCACCAACAACAAAAAGTTTGAAAGTCAAGATACGGTGGCATTGTTGGAAGCTATTTTGGTAGGCAGTTTCTCTATTTTTTCATTCTGTATGATCTTGAAAAGTAAAATAATATCAGCTAAAGGAACAATAAAAGCATGCTCATAATTTATATAAAATGGAGGCATATGAAAAATATGCAAGCCATCTTATTTGCTGCTGCTTTAAATTCTGGTAATGGACTCTGTACTCTAATGGATCCCAAATGTATTTTTTTTATTGGTGGTATCTAAAGGTCAGCATCTTAAGAATATACATTAACTGAATTTTGAACCTTGAAAGAACATATAACATTTTATAATCAGCATGTACAAAAAAGTTCTGAAAAGAAATTATACATCCTATTTGTAAATCCTTTTCTGCTGATGTTAGGCAAAAGTTTTAACTTCCAAAAAGGGGTTTTGCTTTATCCTGATTAAATTACTTTTGTCATAGAAGTATAATCAATTTATGCTGTGGTTCCCAATCTATTGGCTCCACAGGCCAGAAAACTGGTGTGGGGCCAGTCTGCAAGCCAGATTGGGCCCTGCATGGCAGGACTGAACTTGTCTCTCCTGGGTCTGGAAATTTGACAGTTAGGGAGCAGCAGTTAGCTACTACTGCTCCCCTGCCACCACATTTTCGGATCCATGGGGAGCCTTGCGTTCTATAATATAACATGACTCTGTGTGCCACATTTTGCCCATGGACTGGGGGTGGCACAGTACTTGTTTGATGGATCTTGGAATACTTTTAAAAAAAGTTGTGGTGTTTCAGTTTTACAGAGGGGAGGAGCTGAGTTGCAGGAAGGTGAAAAGAGTCTTCAGGTTCCCAGTGCTCTATCAATTAGGCAACAATCCCCCTCTTGTTCCCATGCAGTACAGACTTTGAAATTCTGTGCCCAGCAGATTTAAGAGGACTATTAAAATATGCAATAGTATTGTACTTCTGCTGCAAAGTGTCCTGAATGTTTTCTGTTTGGCTTCAGTGTTTTATAAAATATTGGATTGTTATTGTTTATTTATAGTGCAGCGATCTGTATTTTAAATTTAGGATGGGATAGTGGATCCTGTTGACAGCACTTTACGAGATTTCTGTGGTCAGTGCATTCGAGAATTTCTGAAGTGGTCCATTAAACAGACAACACCACAGCAGCAAGAGAAAAGTCCAGTGAATACCAAATCTCTCTTCAAGCGACTCTACAGCCTTGCTCTTCACCCAAATGCGTTCAAGAGACTGGGAGCAGCACTTGCTTTTAACAACATTTATAGAGAATTTAGGTGAGTTGGGGGTACTTGAACAGCAACTAAACAGATCTGATTAAAATATGACTATACCAAAGTACATAAACATGTTGAAAGTAGAACCCAGGCGGATCTTGATTGACAGATGTTGGTTTATTCCATCCATTCATATGCAAAGAAACTAGGTTTTAGATTCTATTCAGTCTTTATAGTGATTTGGATTCACTCCAGAAATGAAGAGTGTAAATAGTTGGGCTGTATGTGAGTGGAAAACAGGGAGACTGAAGGGGTCAGATTCCATCAAAGGATAAAATAAATATGACAAGCTCTTATTTAGGCAGAGAAGTTTGTTCTGATATCTTTTAGACCAACTTAAATGGTTGGAAAACAATTATTAAGCAAGCGTTTGGGTTCAAAAACCCTTCGTCAGGCTAAGGAAGTTTCTGCAGTTGGTGTGGATGGAATGAAAAGTAAAGAAGCCAGAGGCTGGTCTGGTATGCCTACAAGACAGGTAGTCAGTGAAAATGTAGATTGAGGAGTCAATGGGTGAGAGACAGGTTGGCAGGGGTCGGGGGATGAATAGTGGAGAGATACCTGGGGAGTCAGAGGTCAGGCAGGTTATAATGTGTCATAAATCCAATGTTTATATTTAGTCCATGATTTTTAGTATCCAGGAGGTTGAAGTACAGTTCATAGGCTCGTCTCTGGGAAGTGTTTTGTAAGTTTTTTTTTTTTTTTTTTTGGATCAGGACTGAGAGATTGAAGAGAGAATGGTTTTCTTGTGAGAAATGTGCCCCCACAGGTAATTGGGTATTCCTGCCATTGATAGACTTCCGGTGTGCATTAATTCTGGTGCGCAGTTGTTGTTTGGTCTCTCCTACATATTTTCCATCAGGGCATTTGGTGCATTGGATGAGATGGATTACATTTCTGGAGGTGCAGCTGTAAGATCCAGGAATGCTTATGTCTCTGTTGTGGGGTCTAGTAATTGTGGGGTGGTGGAG